GAGTTTGAAGCATGTTGTGGCATATCAGTAATATAACAGTTGTTCAAACCTGTGACAACAACAAGTTTTCATCACAGAAAACCGATAGATGTGATGAATGTGGAAGAAAGGTGCTCTCTTACAAGCAGTTTGGCCCTTTTCTGAAAGAACAGCCATGTACACAAAAATTTTGGTGTGTTTGTCTGTTTGTCCATCCACTCAGGAAGTAGCATGCGCTCGACGAATGAAAAGTAGCCGAGTGGGGAAAGAGGGGTAGATGGTGCTGTGTGCTTGATAAGTGGTCATAATCTATGTTTGCTCGAATGAAATTGTAAGAAAGGTAGTCGATAGTGAAAATTTTAATTTCTAAGTCCGTATTTCGTATCTCGGTTTACGTCCGCCCCTAAGAACACATTCAAAAACGAAACGCTTGATAGTGTCTAAATAATAAATACTGCCATTGTCAAATGCCATGAGATTGTTCTATACGCAGCTGACAATTGTTCACACTATACGCATCAAAGCAAGGTTTAGAAAGGTATTACTGAGAAAACGTTGACCAGGACTCACCTTGAGCCACTTGTGGAAAGAAAATTTCTAACGAGAGAAAAATTTTTGACGAAAAACGTTTTTATTCTAAAATTTCGTGGTTTTCTGATACGTGTACCAAATGGTGTGCCAGAGATGCCAAGAAACCCTTGTACCAGTTTGAAGGCTTTGTAGATATGTGACACATCTCGATCAGAAACATGTTTATTCAGTTTGTTTATTCGTTCAAAAATACGGCTTTCAGCATTGATATCGTCTAGGGTCCGAGAAGCGTTTCATCTGAAATGTCCAAGAACTCCGATGCGAAAACGAGACAAGGTACAGGATTAGACTGCTTTTAGGAATAACCGGAGCTACTAGTGTATCCGAGCCTGACTGATACTTCGGGAAACGGGCTCTTAGAGCCATTGACTATGGTGAGCGAGGATTTTAATTTCATTCATACAAACATGACCTTTTATTGCAGATGCCGCAAAAATACCGGAGCAGAACACAAGTCCTCGCGATCGTCGTTCAACACTTTCAGGTCTTGACCAAAACCTCAAATATTTCATTGCTGATAAATTACAATCAATATCCAACAATCTCAATGATGGCAAGTTAATTCCACCGGTTACTGTTGGATTAAATCAAGGTGACCGTTTTCAAGTATTGGCAGTTGCAAATTCTGAACGTATCATTAGATTACGTGGAAGACAAACGGATGGACGAGTGATGATAATGGAAGGAGAAATTCTAGTAAACGAAGGCCCTCCACTTCATCTCCATCATCGCGAAGATGAATATTTTCATGTTCTCGCAGGTGAGATCGAATTTCAGATTGGAGATGAAAAGATTGTTGGAACAGCTGGTACATGGATCTTTGCACCACGTTACATTAAACATACATATAGGAACGTGAATTCAACTGGAGCTCGATTAGAATTTGTGTTTCAACCAGCTGGTATTGAATTTTATTTTGAAGAAGTTAGCAAAATAATTGTTGCACAGGAGCCAGATTGGGAGACACAAGCAGCTGCTGTTGCTAACAAATATGGAATTGAGCTGCTCGGTACACCAGATTGGACTGGATAAACAAATTAGACATAGGCTTTCTTCTTGTATTTAATTCTGAATAAAAAGCTTGCTATAGCAGCCCCCGATGAGGCTATAATGAGGAACTCACATAAACTCTTACGTTCTATAACACACGAGAAAATGTTCTATAAGCACAGAACGATGTCTCGAAACGAAGAGTCCCCTGTCCTCTTTCGCGCGGCAGAAACCGAAGCTCTCTGGGTGCTTTCTATCAAAAGTCATTCAAAAAACAGGGGAGTGCACTACATTTTGGAAGGGACAATAGTTCGGGTGCTGAAGTTTTCTTGAAATGGAAAACGAAGAAACAGATATTGTTCAAAACGCTAAAAAAGACGCCCGCGATCTTGTATCCGTCTCTTTTTAAGGCAGCAGCAGGGAACTGGCGATACTACACATGGCATCGTTGACCGATGACTGATCGAATAATTTGGATCATGTGTCAAAGAATCAATAAAATCCTATTGAAAACGTTTTACACAAGGCCTAATTTCTCAAATATCTTCTAGAATACCTGTACCAAAAAACTCTTCCAAAAAAGCTTCGTTATGAAAACAGCGCCAAATCTACGTGAAACTGTTAAGTGATGGTACGACTCACTAGAGTGTATGTGTGGTGCCACAATCGACGTGAAAAGTGTTCAGTGTTTGTATGATCCACCAGAGTAGATTTGTCGCGCCACAGTCAACTTGAAACTGTTAAGTGGTGGTATGAGTCGCTAGGGTGGATGTGAGGCGCCAACTCGACGTTAGACTGGCAACTGGAAGTATGAGTCACTTGAGTGGATGTGTGGCAACACAATCAACTTGAAACTATAGAGTGACTGTATGAGTCGCATACCGTACGTATATACACACAAATATTAGTGTGACGGACGTAAGGGTGGCACTTTCTCGTTCCTTTCCCAAAAAAGAAAAGTGAAAACTGACTTTCTCTCGTTTAGGAAAGGAACGAGAAAGTGTCACCCTTAGACGGACGTACATACACACAGATATTAGTGCTACGTAACGTAGAATTTCACTTTGCTTACTTTTACAGTGTTTAAACTTGAGTGCTTTAGCGGCTGCTTGAGTAGCTGCTGCGATATATGCATGATTCACAACTGACTGTGTCGAAAGTCCGCTACATTCTTCAAGATGTTGAATTAATTGTTCATCGGGTTCATCATCTTCACAGCTATCAATATCACGTTGCACTGTTGTTCGTTTCTGTAAATGTCTTACGAATTTTATTGCTTACCGTTCTGCACTGAACCGACAGTCCAGTCCTCTAGCGAACGTGCGTTGTCCTTGTTTCAAAGTCATGGAAGGTCGTTCGTAGATATAAGTTCCTAAAGTCAAGACAGCGAGCGAGTGCGTACGAACTTTACCTTGTCCATATATGCAGAGAGTGATCAACACTGTAACCAAAAAATGCATAAATGTTGCAAACGATGGAAACGATGTAACAGCAGTTTTGATCGGATCAGAAACAAAGAAATTTTATGTTAAATGTAGATGAGCTAAGATGAGAGATTTTGGCTGTACAGGTTGAATTAGTTTTTTTAGTTTTTAATTTCTACATTAAGAATCTAAAAGGTCTGACAAGTCCTTGGCCGTCTATACTAGTATGTCATGATTCCGTTACTTATTTCAAAACTGGTTTAGATTCAAGTCATCTTATTATAACAGCTAATTCATTGAAAGCAGTAGTGATATGGGCAGGTCTATTTCATTTGTTAATATTGACTTTTATCAAGGGACAAAAAAAAATGGATTCTTTGATTTTCTTTTATTCAAAAAAATCGCAGTTAGTTTTCTGCTCTTTCGTGTGTGTTACCTATCAACCATTATTCTTAATTCTGCATGTTTGAGCGACTGCCACTTATATCATTTGTGATTTCTGCTTCTTTTGTTCTTGTGGTTTAGTTGAGCAATTACTCTTTCTGACATTATTTTCTCATTTATGCTGTATTATGTTTAACTAAACCTGTTCTTTTGTTCTTATGCGCGAAACTTTTCTTACTTTGTGCATCCCCTTTTCTGCTTATTAATGTAACCACATTTCAACTTACTAATAAATTTGGATACCAACAAACTGATCAAAATCTTCTATGACGGTAGTTCTATATATGAAAAGACAGCCACGTTCTTTAAGTAAATGAAATCATGAGAATTTGAGTTCTTCCGTCGATATCTGTATAAAACAGATGTAAAACAAGACGAAGAATAAAATTGTTGTTCTCGACTGAACGAAAACTATATGCTTCAACCTTTCGACAGTTCTTAAAAAATGAGTTCTTCAGAGAACAATTTGTCCCCTATAGAGATCAAACAATCTGAAGAACAACACTTTTGTTCTTCAGAAAGTGTGATCTTTACCTTTTATGTTTTTCAGAGAACACAAAACCTATTCTTCATTTTTTTGGAAGATCTTTAAAAATCTGTTCTCTGGAGAGCAAGTTGTTCTCCCTTATAGGGAGAAAAAAACTTAAAGAACTAAGATTTTATTCTTCAGAAAACTGAAGATTCTTGTTGTACATTTCAGACAATCTATAGAATTCTACATTTTCGCTATGAATTCTACGACAACCATTTCACAGTTAGTGAGTCACTAATCAACTATGTTTGTACTAACGTAGAACTCTATATAATTCTATACATTTCCGGTTGTCTCTGACTCAGCTAATATATATAGCTAGTATATCGGTGCTAACGTGGACTTCTATAGAGTTCTGTAGAATGTCTGAATTGCAGG